GTGCGTCTCCCGTGGCCAGCGGTCCTGGCTCTGCAGGGCTGATGCCTGAGGGGAGTTCAGGACCAGGGATTGGGGTGAAGGTCCTATTCGGGTCGCGGCTGCCAGGGCCGCTGGGTGCTCTCTTCCGTACCAAAGGTTGGTGGCCCTCACTGGACCTCTTGCAGGAGGCACCTCTGGGCCTCCCTTCCCCACGCTCGTCCTCCTTGGTAGTGACCTGCTTCTCTTTAGCCGGCCTCAGCACCGCGGGCATCAAGGGCTCCAAGAAGAAGCTGTCTGGCCGGCTTCCGAGGGTGTCTGCATGCCTCTGGGGGGAGCGGGCACCTGCCCTCAGGCCTGGGGACCGCGGCGAGAGTCTGGGGGCTTCAGGGTCCCCACGGCAGGGGGCCGCGTCTGTCCTAATGATGGCCACGAGCTCCTCCTCCTCGTCCTCCACACTGACGTTGCTCATGAGGCTCTGCCCACTGGCCACGGCAGCGGGCTGCGGCTGGTTCTGGGGGGTCAGGTGGACGACGCTGGACGCCAAGCTGTCTTTGCTGATGGAGCGGGCCAGGCTGACGCTGTCTCCAGAGCCAGGTTCCACGTCGTAACCCACAGCCTGGTGGAGGGCGAAGGGGGTCGGCTGGGACGCGGGCCTGCAACACAGGGGAGAGAGCGGTAGGCGCTGCCAGGCGGGCGCCCGGAGGAGGCCGGGCACGGGGCCGTGACACACAGGAGCTGAAGGTGCCTCCCGGCTCGGTGCTCTCGAGGCGTCCTGGGCCTACTCACACCCTCAGAAGTCACTGAGGACCCCCACGAGGAGAGCCCGCCGCGTCCGTCAGCATCCGTCTCTGCTTTCCACACTAGAGACGAAGTGGGCAGTCCCTAGCGCTGACTTCAAAAGCACTGGCCGGCCCCTCACGAGAAGAGCGCCTGCGTGCTCCGGAGCCAAGCGTGGTGGGGAGCAGCCAGCGCCCAGGCTCACAGGCCACACAGCTCGCAGCCCGGAAACCCCGCAGGGTGCTCAGGGCCGACGGAGCAAGACTCAGCTAATACCCATGCTGGGGAGGGCACCACCGTGGCCCGGCAGCCCTCAGAGGCCCCTGACCTCACCTTGGGAGCTCCACTTGGGCCACAAACATTCCAAGCACAAACGCCCCTGAAACAGTGCCTCACCTGGTTTTCCTCTCTGGCCACGCTACCGCTGCGCCTCGCGGCTGCCCGTCAACACGTGTTAGGGAGTTGGACCGATGCCGCGGATCTGCAGTCGGGGGAACGAGAGTACATCAGAGCTCCGCTGCCCGTCTCGAGCCGTTTCAAAGTATTCCAGAACAGCCAGCTCTCTAGGAAGGGGCTGGGACTCAGCACACCAGAACCACTCGAGGCAAAGGGCCACAAGAGCATTCACCTTTCCGGTCACTGGGAACGTGGCCCCCACAGGCATGGCACGCAGCGGGGACAGAGTCAGCACCACACAGGCACTGCCTGCCCCAGCGCGCTCAGGAGCCTCGGCCACTGGGCACTGTGCGTGCTTCAGGGGCCTGCATGTTCTCACAACTCCAAGATGCACCACAAGGTGGCGACTCCATCAGGGAGGGGCTACTCTGAGGGCCCACCCACCCACCCCTGAGAGAGGGAGCCAAATGGGAGGCAGAGGGGGGCAGAGGGGG